TTAGAAGCGATGTTTTCTTTACGAATAGCAAGCAAAATATCAGAAACGGTCCATGCAAAACTTAAAAAAATTTCATCGTCATGCCATAACTGGCCATTATTACCCAAACTGTTATGCAACTGACGATGATACGTCACGTAATACCACGCGGACGCTTTAGCTTTCGATTCGTTTGTAATCTTGATAGGAACACGCGAAGAAAATGGCAAATCATGCTCTGTATCCTCATCGTCATCCAGGTCCCTTTGAAAAGATAGCCGTGTCTTTTGTATAATAACTGCAACTTCCATAGAGATCGTCTCACGAACATCGTGAATCTTTTTTCCGTCCGTTCCACGAAATTGAATAATGTTTCCAGTGACAATTTCTGGTTCTGTCTTAATGCTGTATTTTTTCATTAAGCTTTTAAGTCTCCAGTTATAGTCATCGCGCATCGTGATCGCTTCTTCGATGTAATCCTCATAGCCTTCTGCGAGAAAATCCTCGTCTACTGTGATGTCAAATTTTTTATAGTTTAAAAGTGGGTCTTTTTGAGGAGTGTTGACTTTTATACGACGGTAGAGGATTCCAAGGATCTTTTCAGATTCGTAAGAGTTTCGGTATTTATTCTCCATAAAATCAGGATATTCGTAGATGCCTTTTTATTGATAAAATATAATTCAAAATTTGATATTTAGATTTATCTTAAAATAGCAAAATACAAAAATACATTTATAGACCTGGCAATTTATCGTCGACAGGTTGTCCTAAACCAAAGATAAATAACATGATTTACATTAATTTTTATTTATGTCAGCTAAAATTTAATTTAATTCTCGCACTACTCACCTGTCTTATTGAAATCGACAGCTTTGGATGCCTAAAAATTATCATTAATACTCAATTAAACTTAAATTCTCTCTTAAAAACTAATGCATAATAATAAAAACTCACAAGACTTGCTAATAACAAACATTCTTCATTTTGAACACCATCAACATAGGAATCTGCTAAAGCCATATGCAAATTACAAATACTTCCAAGACGGTCATTTATCATGAAATCGACAAAGAAATCACATATATCCTCAATATTCACTGGACGTGGAAGCTCGACACGTGGTGGTCTATCATACCGCATCGATTCATACTTACGCGATGGCATAATTGGTTTATAAAAGCTTATGAAAAATTCATCGCCATCTGAATAAAGGCGCGCGAAAAAGTATGAGTATGAGTTAAAGATTAATTTTAATTGTGAAGGACATAAAGTGTAAATTCTCACCCAAGTCACCTGTATTGTGAATGGAAGATTCGAAATAAATTAATAAATCAATCAATATTTTAATTAAAAATTGCGTTAAAATACTCACCACCAGACATAGTATTAGCCACTGGTATTTGACCTTTTTGCGAAAAGACAATACAATTTTTTAAGTGATACAATTGGGGAATATCAACCGCCCGTAGCACTGAAACATCCCCTTTATATTTATAAAATTAAAAAAATCAAATGTCAAGATTAACATGAGCAAAAGTATTATAATCTTTGATTGTCAAACTAAGTCATTATTTATTTACCGGGATGTAAACATGGATTCCTAGTAACAAGGACCTTTCCAGTCCGAACCTGATTTTTTCGTCTAATTTCCTGCTCATCCTCTAACGGTTGATCATTATCTATGATACTAGAAGTGTGTACATACACTTCATTCGCTTCCAGAATCCCCGTCTCGTCCATCACACCAAACAAAAGAAAGGTGTCGGGAACAGAAATTCGAGC